AATATTTTAAGAAAAGTTGAAGTCTCATAAATTTTATCTAAAAAAAAAACGTATTTTTTCTAACATTGTCAAAATAAAAGCTGCACTTCTCCATGAGATTCTTCAAAATAAAGGCACAGTTTTCTTGTCAGTCTTATTAAAATAAAATGTATATATCCTAAATGCAATCCTTTCCCCTGGGTAAACCTACAAAACATTGTATGTTTATATGATTGGATATGACTCAGCTGCTGCCACATCACATTTCAGCTCATCTGTAAAACTAACAGAGTTTAGACATTTCTAGGTTTTTTGTATCAGTTCAGTGTGATCTTTACTGAGATTTTGTTTCAGACTCGTATTGTTTTATTGTCAAATGTAAAACCCTTCTACTTTTTTTGTTTATGGAAGAAACGTGATCATTTAAGGCAAGAACATTTAAAGTGAATTAAGAAAATAGAAAACATCCTTTTGCTGTTCAGTTTGTTTGAACATTTTAACAAAGAAAAATCACATAAAAAGTTAGAGGCATATTTTTGTGTTTCTTTCCGTGTGTCTCATAAAATCCTCTGAGTGGAAAGATGTGAGTTCTGGTTCTGGCTGTCCCACATGTGGAGCCTCAGAACCGGAGGGCGGGGCCAAACCACATCTGGATGAAAAACATCTGGAGCTCTTTCTCCGCCTGCTGCCGGGGAGAAACACCGACACGACGGCTGAGAGAGGCGGCCGAGCCCCGTGTCTTTGTCCCAAAGATCATGGCTCGGTTCTGGGCTCTTTGGACCGGGATACTCGTCTTCATGACAGCCTGTAAGTCCTGCCTGATGCCGGGGAGTCTGTCTGTTGGCAGAGGGGATGGAGGAGGGGGGCTTTGTTTCAAATGATCATCTCTGAAAACACTCAAACTTTTAACAAACTAATTTTATTATTTCATTTCGGTCAGAACTGATTCAGAACATTTGACTCATCTTTTACTAACGATAGATAGATAGATAGATAGATAGATAGATAGATAGATAGATAGATAGATAGATAGATAGATAGATAGATAGATAGATAGATAGATAGATAATCATGGTTTAAATGCTTTTAAATGGGGGGTATTATGTATTTATAGTTAAATTCTATACCACATTTAATGTGGTAATCTATGTTAATCTATTACCTTCAGTTGCTGTGAAAAATGCTATGGTATCAACACTTTGCATCATGGTGTATCTAAATTGAAATTTACCTCTGCCTCTTTAAGAACCTACCATTTCGGACACTCCCACTTTAGCACTTCTTCACAACAGTGCTTCCGGGGCAGGGGCACTCTGTAGCAAGTACACTTCGCTGCAGCATGCAGAACGGGGCGGTGACGGACCTTTCCGTCAGTCCCATACCTTATATGGAAATGGGACTATTGCATTCCGAACATGAAGGGGGCGCTAGTGACACTATTTTCTGTCGAACACTTTCAACATTAAAAATACAAATTTAACATTTCCCGTACCAACCGTGTTATAATAATTATAATAATATTAACGCATTTTATTTCACAACGCCTTTCAAAACACCATAGAACGCTATCAACATTAAAAATACAAATTTTACAGTAAGGAAATGGCTACAAAACGTGTTATGTCACGTGGTATGTCCCTTTTTCATTTTCAAATCTTTATTAAATCTTTGTTGTTTTTGGATATTAAAATTATATTACAGTAACGGTTAGGGTTAGGGTTAGGGTTTTCTTCTTCCTTTGCTCTCTTAATCCCGTGTCTTTAAGGAGCAACCTTCATTTCCGGAATGTAATGTCCCATTTCCATATAAGGTATGGGACTGACGGAAAGGTCCGTCCCCGCCCCATTCTGCATGCTGCAGCAAAGTGTACCTCCTCGGTAGGCCAGGAGTGCCCTGCAGACTCAGCTCCAGGGAGAAGCTTTGTACAAATAGGCGGTGCTTTGTACCAGCAATCCTTCAGGCAGCTACGAGATTCAAGGATTTCTCAAACATGCATGAATGAGTCAAAGCAACATTTTGTGTATGTTTTTAATGAGGGAATGACATTTTCCCATGAAATAAAGCTAAAAAAAAAGTCCATTTTGCATAATCTCCCCACCACCCACCCAAAAAAGAGACAAAACTTTATTTTTCTTTCTCAGGTTTGCTTGTAAAAAACACAACGTTGTCTAAAAGTTCCATATTTTTTTAGAAAATAAATATGCCTAAACCAAACATTTGCAACAACCTACAAGAGTTAGCATGTTAGCAGATAAAATATGCATAAATAATAAATCAGCCTGTCAGACTCTGACATAACTTTAATTAGAAGAAGTAATGTTCTGTGCAGTAATAATACTTTAGATTTATAAACACAAATAAAACAGCCTGTGGTAGCATGATTTACCAAGAATGCAGAAACACGGAATAAATGCACAGAAAGTCTGTGTGTATGGTCGTCAAATGATTTAATTCTGAGCAACAACACAGCAGACGGTCAATCAGGAAGTCTGTCGTGTTGTGACTGGCTCTCGTCAGTGGAGAGCCAATGATATAACATCATGTGACATGCTTACAGCCAATCACCATTCGACAAATGTAACCACTTAACCAATAACAGGTCTCTCAGCCCAGAAGCTACCTTATCAAAATAAAGAGAGGTCATGCATTGCTGGAGTCTTGAAGTCTGGGCCGATAGAGTAAAACAGCCGAAACTAGTTAATCATAAGATATGATTACTGGACAGTGTCAAGGTAGAACAGACATACATAATTAATCCATAACAATCCCTCCTCTTGAGTAAACAATACTCAAAACCAAAACAAATGGAATAATTATTAAACCGTCCAAACACAAATGCATTGCCCAACAACAAATACAATGGAAAAATAAGGGGAAAATAGTGCAAGTTATATGACGACCAACAACATATACATTCAAGCAATGTAAGATACAGCAGGAAAAGCCATAAATGACAAATGAAACATCATTACACATCAGAAGAATCGATGAAGAAAAACATGTCAAAATTTAAAAAACTTAAAAGTCCAAAACTCAGACAAGGTATCACAACACAAGTTCTGCCTCCCAGTGAATTAGTAGTGACATGTACCACTTGTGTGCCATCAGAATCTTATCTTGGATAATGTGTTAACTTAATAACAACTAGTTGTCAATAAATGAACCTTAAGTAATGCAAATTAGGACAAAGTGAGTTGAAGAAATGCTGAAGGCATTAACTTCTAGCAAAGCGATTGGACAAGTTCAAAAGCAAATCATAAATGAAAGACAGCAACCTTCATGATTAAATGTGGAAATGTCATCAAAATGTGCAAAATTCAGTTCCCACCCCATTCAGGTAACAGGTCCCCAAAACAATTCAAGATCACTTTATTCAAAAAAACCACAGTGCCCATAAGGCATGAACTCAAATGTATGGATTACTGGCATGAGCATGCTTGTGCAATGAAAAGAGAAGAAAGTTTAACAAAAATAACAAACAAAAGCTAAATCTAAAGTCTAAATAAATTAAACTAAAAGAAATAGCACCCCTCTCCTCTTGTTACACCCAAGCTAAACCCTAAAGTAAGCCTAGATCTAGTCCTTCTGTGAATGACGTAGACGTTGTTAGACAGCAACTCTCAGCTCCCGGACCTCAACCACAAAACCCAGACGGGTGAATTCTCCCTCAAATATGTCTTCATGGCATACCAGGCTCGAGGTAGCAGAATGCCCCCTTCCCAGTGTTGTGTCCTTCTCGGTTCATCTGAGGCTGTCGGCGACTGGACCCTCTGTCTCCCCTCCGTCTGGTGGCTGCTTGCTGCTGAGTTTCTCTCCTGGTGGGTGGCTGGAAAATCAGCGAGCGTCTGCCTGTAAGCTTGTTGACGTCAAAAAATGCTCTTGAGCTAACACTTGAATGAAGAAAAGGCGATATCTTCAGCTTTGGACATGTTTATTGCGAGAGAGATGTAAAAGAGGGTCCTCACAGCGTGATGGTAAAAATGGACTCCGCACAAAGGGCGCGCCCCCGCTCGTATGCGCGTCCACATTCTTAAAGAGACAGTACATGAAAATACACCACATATCCCCCCTTCGATTCTTCAGAATCGACAAATAACCAAACATCCATACAG